ATCGTCTAATGAAAAGGACCAAGGCGCAGCGTTGCGAGCGAACATATTTACTTTAATAGTTAGAGCACAACACTCAAAATACAAAACAATAAACAACGAATGCGTGACGTCTATGGTACAACACGAAACCACACAAACAAAATCCCACAACCCGAAAGAAAAACAGACAGATTAAATATGGCTCCCAATCAGAGACAAACAGCCGACAGCTGACACTCGTTTGCCTCTGATTGGGAGTCACACCGGCAAACATAGAAAATTGACAACCTAGAACACCCACCAAAGAAACAGAAAACATAGAATGAACACACCCTGGCTCAACATATTGAGTCCCCGAGCCAGGGTGTGACAACGGAACATTTCAAGAACGTTGAAAGTTTCTTCAAGTGCAGTCGCAAAAAACATCAAACGCTATGATGAACCTGGCTCTCATGAGGACCGCCACAGGAATGGAAGACCCAGAATTACCTCTGCTGCAGAGGAAAAGTTCATTAGAGTTACCAGCCTCAGAAATTGCAGCTTCACAGAGTTCAAGTAACAGACAAATCTCAACATCAACTGTTCAGAGGGGACTGTGTGAGTCAGGCCTTCATTGTCGAATTGCTGCAAAGAAACCACTACTAAAGGACACCAATAATAAGAAGAGGCTTGCTTGGGCCAAGAAACACGAGCAATTGACATTAGACCAGTGGAAATGTGTCCTTTGGTCTGTAGTCCAAATTTGAGATTTTTGGTTCCAACTGCCGTGTCTTTGTGAGACGCGGTGTGGGTGAACGGATGATCTCTGCATGTGTATTTCCCACCGTAAAGCATGGAGGAGGAGGTGTTGTGCTGTGGGGGTGCTCTGCTGGTGACACTGTCTGTGATTTATTTAGAATTCAAGGCACACTTAATCAGCATGGCTACCACAGCATTCTGCAGTGATACACCATCCCATCTGGTTTGGGCTTAGTGGGACAATCATTTGTTTTTCAACAGGGCAATGACCCAACACACCTTCAGGCTGTGTAAGGGCTATTTTACCAAGAAGGAGAGTGATGGAGTGCTGCATCAGATGACCTGGCCTCCACAATCCCCCGACCTCAACCAAATTGAGATAGTTTGGGATGAGTCAGCCCACAGAGTGAAGGAAAAGCAGCCAATACATGCTCAGCATATGTGGGAACTCCTTCAACACTGTTGGAAATGCTTCCAGGTGAAGCTGGTTGAGAGAATGCCATAAATGCAAATAAAAAAAGGAAATATCACATTTATATAAGTATTCAGACCCTTTACTCAGTACTTTGTTGAAGCACCTTTGGCAGTGATTACAACCTCGAGTCTTCTTGGGTATGACGCTACTAGCTTGGCACACCTGTATTTGGGGATTTTCGATCGGGTTCGAGTCCGGGCTCTGACTGGGCCACTCAAGGACATTCAGAGACTTGTCCCGAAGCCATTCCTGTGTTGTCTTGGCTGTGTGCTTAGGGTCGTTGTCCTGTTGGAAGGTGAACCTTTGCCCCAGTCTGAGGTCCTGAGTGCTCTTGAGCAGGTTTTCGTCAAGTATCTCTCTGTGCTTTGCTCCGTTCAGCTTTCCCTCGATCCTGACTAGTCTCCCAGTACCTGCTGCTGAAAAACATCCCCACAGCGGGATGCTGCCATCACTATGCTTCACCGTAGGGATGGTATTGGCCAGGTGTTGAGTGGTGCTGGTTTCCTCTAGTCCTGACTCTTGTCATTCAGGCCAAAGAGTTCAATCTTGGTTTCATCAGACCAGAGAATCTTGTTTCTCATGGTCTGAGAGTACTTTAGGTGCCTTTTGGCAAACTCCAAGCAGGGTGTAATGTGCCTTTTACTGAGGAGTGGCTTCCGTCTGGCCACTCTACCATAAATGCCTGATTGGTGGAGTGCTGTAGAGATGGTTGTCCTTCTGGAAGGTTCTCCCATCTCCACAGAGGAACTCTGGAGCTCTGTCAGAGTGACCATCGGGTTCTTGGTTACCTCCCTGACCAAGGCCCTTCTCCCCCGATTGCTCAGTTTGGCCGGGTGGCCAGCTCTAGGAAGAGTCTTGGTGGTTCCAAACTTCTTCCATTTAAAAATGATGGAGGCCACTGTGTTCTTGGGGACCTTCAATGCTGCATAAATGTTTTGGTACCCTTCCCCAGATCTGTGCTTCGACACAATCCTGTCTCGGAGCTCTACGGACAATTCCTTCGACCTCATGGCTTGGTTTTTGCTCTGACATGCACTGTCAACTGTGGGACCTTATATAGAAAGGGGTGTGCCTTTCCAAATCATGTCCAATCAATATAATTTACCACAGGTGGACTCCAATCAAGTTGTAGAAACATCTGAAGGATGAACAATGGAAACAGGATGCACCAGAGCTCAATTTTGAGTCTCATAGCAAAGGGTCTTAATACTTATGTAAATAAGGTATTTCTGTTTTTTATTTGTAATACATTTGAAAACATTTCTAAAAACCTGTTTTCGCTTCGTCATTGTGAGGTGTTCTGTGTGGATTGCTGAGGATCTTTATTTAGTCAATCCATTTTAGAATAAGGCTGTAACGTAACAAAATGTGGAAAAGGTCAAGGGGTCTGAATACTTTCCTAAGGCACTGTATATATTTATTATTATTATTATTTGTATTTATTTTTTACAGACTAGGTCAAAAATAAGTGAACATTTACAAATTACCCAATGGATCAAGTTTGCTCCCCCTTTTTTTTATTTGCTCCATGGCATCAGGCGGCCAAGTGGACACAAGGCTCTTTGGCTCATCCCAGTCACAAAGAGGAATAACTTTGCAGCTGTTTCTGATTAATTAACAATGCCATGCTGGTGGGTGGTAACATTCAAATAAAACCCAGCCCTGAAATGAAACGGTGGCTGAAAATAAGTTGTATGTCATATCATAGGAAAAGACACCGCATTCACATGGATTTGCACAAAGTGGGCAGTTCTGATGTCATTTTTAGGCCCAAATATATCATACTTTGACTAAAACAATGCATCATCATGGGTAAGCTCTGACCATCGTCTTTCAACTCAAAAAAGTGAATTTCTACTGGTGTGGGTGTTTAAGTATTCTGTTGGCCCATGTTACTTTACAGGATTGGCCTGCTCCGGGGTAATGTAATGGATAGAGGGCTTGTCACGATCGTCATAATGAGTGGACCAAGGCGCAGCGTGATACGAGTACATACTTTAATAGTACTTTTACAATACAACAAAACAACAAAACGAAACGTGAAGTCCTCGGTTATGAACAAACCAACACGGAACAAGATCCCACCAATCACAAGTGCACAAAAGGCTGCCTAAGTATGGTACCCAATCAGAGACAACAAGCAACAGCTGATTCTCGTTGCCTCTGATTGAGAACCACCCCGGCCAACATAGAAACACATAACCTAGAACAGAACATAGAAAACGAAACATAGACACTACCCAAAGAAACTAACACCCTGGCTCAACATACAAGAGTCCCCAGAGCCAGGGCGTGACAGGGCTGAAGAACTTTGACTCTTGTAAGGGTGCCACACTGGCTGAGGAGAGCCATTCATTGCCAGAGAATTGGATGATAGACCCATGAATATTATATCCATTAACCATAATATCTGTGAATCTGGGAGGGAAATAGCAACAATATATTTCATTTAGCAGCCACTTTTATCCAAAGTGATTTACAGTCATGCCTGCATACACTTTTTATGTATGGGTGGTCCCAGGAATTGAGCCCACTATCCTGGCATTGCAAGCGGGATGCTATACCAACTGAGCTACAGAGGACCACAATAACAATGGGAATGGGATGGGAATAGACAATAAGGAGGAAAAGGTTAATCTCTCGCCATGTTTCAGCACCACGGACAGTTCCAGTCCTTCCCTTGCCTCACCCAACTCTCCCCCTTCCCTTGGTACTAGCTGCTGTCAGACTTCTTTGACTTCACATACATCCATAACCACAACAGACCTCATGCACCTATAGAAGTTTGAATGCTTTTTATTATGTTGTTGAATCATGGTTTCACCCAACAGTGTTTCTCTGTTGGTTATTCCCCCTGAATATCCTCAATGTCCAAGTACATGGATGGATAAAAACACATAACTAGTTGGGCATATCTTGCTGTACTGGAGTGGAAACACATTTGCGTTGCAAGAATATGCAATTATATCGTCATAATAATGTATAATATATTCATTAAACATTTATCAGCAAAATATTTATCAGAGCACATTCACTATGTGTAGGTTGCGTTCTCATATGCCCCTAAGCTGCTGACTGTATCACTTTGTGACCCTTTTATAGGATTAGACTTGAACTTGAACAATGTAATGCCAGCCTCTACTCTTTTTTAGAAAATGTATATCCCTCCCAGAGCGCACAAAGGGTAATGTTAGGGGGTTCCATGGTGTTTAAAGGCTGTGAGGGGAAGATAAAGTGAGTCCGGTTGTCTCTTTAAATCAACGCTGCAGAGCTGAGATGGTAAAGCCTTGATCACACCTACAGTGTCAAGCGCTATAATGGAACGCAGCATTATCTGGATATGTGTGCAACAAAAATTCAGCATTCACCTTTTGCTACTATTTCTGTCAAGCTGTCTAAGCATATCATTTGATGCATATGTTCGATAAATCCAATGTATGCACCACACAGAAAACACTGCAACTGCCTCTGCGAGGTAATGCTGCAAGGCAAACGCAGCGTTCCATTGGAAATGAATGTACTTCTGCTGTACCAAAATGCAAAAATTCACTGTCGGTGTGATCGAGGCGTAAGAACCATTTCCACCTCTGCGGCAGAGAGCCTGACCAAATAGGCGCACGAGAGCGCTTCAGACATAGCCTACTGAGTGAAACCCATTCCCATGGGTACTTGTGCTCTTTGGTCGCTTCCAATCTTGGAGAGGGAAGCAATTTGTCAATCATACTATACTGGAGTGATCATTTTCAGTGCATCTCTGGCGAATGGCATTTTTTAATTTTAATGTTGTCCTTTTTTATTCCATCCGCAGAACTCTCTGGCAGTCGCCTCAATCCATTTACAGCTGGCTGGTACGCCTAACCCCTCTGCGTTGCAATCTGTTGATAACTCGACTTGCAAGCTGCAGTTTATTGTCTTTCGAAATGGGAAACTCTTTCCTTGCACAGGGAATTCGTCAAATCTTGCAGATGATGGAAAACGTAGGAGCGTTTCGACACCAGTTGCTTTCACCAAATTAGGTAAGAGGAAATGCATGCATTTTATCATCATGGCTCTGATGTCAACGCTGTCTACAACTATGATCTGACTGTCGACAAACACAGGGACACGCGCATGCATACAAAATGGAAAAAGTGCGCAGCTTGTAGAGATTTTATCCATATTTCATATTTTTTGTTAAACACAACTATATCTACATGTTTGTAAGTTAAACGCATAGCTTAATTCACACCACATTTTAATGATTTTTATATGCATGTAATTTCCGTTACCATCCCTTTGATGATTTCTGTGCCAGATGTTTAATACCTTTTAAACTTTTAACATAAACATGTAAATGAAAGATAAATAAATAAAAAAATGAAAGAAAGCAGAATGAATCATAATTGATGGATGTCTGACAACAGTAACATTACTGTGAGTGTGTGTTTGTGTGTGTATGAGTGTGTTTGTGTTTTCGTTTGTGTCCATGCGTCTTGGATGTTGCACTTAAAAGACTTTCCACTTGGTTTCCCTAATTTAATGTTTTGCTTTCTTGCAGATAGGTGCACCCTCGGGAGCGCGGTGCACTCGGTTACCATCGCTCTCAGGCACTTCGCGCTCGGTGTAGACCCAACCGCAGCCTATTGGGATTTTGACCTGCTAGATGGGCACGGTGGCTGGCGGGCAGAGGGGTGCCACATAACAGACTCCGTGGGCAGCACGACCACAATTCATTGCACTCATCACAATAACTTTGCGGTGCTAATGGTGAGTACAGAAGTCCTCTCACAGGACACCTTGTCCCCGGCTCTCCCGGCTTGTTGCTTATGATGAATCAAACACATAATTTTGCATGAAGGAGTAGAGCGACGTGCTTTACCAAGCACTTCGTGATATTAAGGGCCCTTTCAAAATATTGCTTTATTGTTTGTTGTAGCTTACTCCTGCGGAGGAAAATGTAATGGGGAACCATGGCTGAGGATGGTATTACTCTTTTTTTTCTACAATTTGGAAACACGAAGTTGGTTGTCTTGTCTGCCACCTCTGCTAAACGGAGTAGGGCAGCTCAAATCGAAACGATGCTCAATAGAACGAGCGCCTTGTCAGTATTCGCCTGCAAGCGCAAGTGGTGTAGCCTACTAATTGTTTGCAACCTCCTTCCACCGAAATGTTCGATTGTAAAGCAAGCCATCTTTAAATCTATCTCGCTCAAGTTGGTCATGGTGTCGTCGCTGTGTGTATTTCTGAATACCTTCTCCTGTCGACGTCTCCTATTAAAATAGATTTCATGAGGATAAAACCGACAGCGCAATGGCATCGCATCGCTCAGTTGTTCCATAGTACCTCTGCGCCTAGTCGGCGTTTGGACGGACAGGAATTCTCCGGATGTTTACCGAAGAGTGGGATTCGCTAGATTGGGAGGTTAGTCCTTATAGTGCATGAAAGTGGTGTTGTGTGGAATGTCGGTGTTTTCCCAAGTTGCTTTAATCTGCATATTTTATTAGGCTGTTCAATTTCGTTCTTATTCCTATGAAATAAGCCGGGTTGAAAAGCAGAAATGGAGGAGTTGGTGTGTGAGACAGGGGAGAAAAAGCAGCATATTGAGAGTAAGGGATGGTGTGCATGGAATACCAAGCTGTTGTCAAGTAGAGCGCAGATGTCAGATTGTCATTGCGTGGGGCTGTGGCATTGTAGGCTGTGAATTTAATATACAACCTGGGCTAGTGGAGATGCTTTTCGCTGCACTTGACGGCACGCCTTTATTGGGTATGTAGTGGCTGTCAGCGCACGAGCAAAGTGAGATCGCAAGACAATTGAGTGAATAGACCTGACAGCAGATTAAGGATTTGAACGTCAGGGCACGTCAAATGGAAGTGCTAGTCGTGGTGGGTGGGGGTAGCTGTTGCAGTCTGGTCTCTCTAAGGAGAGGAGATTATGGTTTTTATTCGGGTGTTAGTGCCAGAGACCCTGCGCGCTTTACTAATGCAGTCACCACACCCGCAGTAGTCTCTGCAGTGCCCGAGAAAATGACCCTTATTTACAGACTCGTGACATCACTCTCTTTTCGGCATTATCTCTGTTGCAGTATGATTTCTCTCTCCTGTTTGGCTCTGGAGTACTGAACCTGTTGCATGATCTCCTCATGTCAAGCTGAAACTGTTCTGGTAATGTGTTTGCTATATCACCATATAATATATTGTTACCTGTTTGTTAACTGGTGTTAAGGACTATGGTCATTGACACAGGTTTGGGCCTCCCAAATAAACCTGAACACAGCTGCCTTGATGCAGAATGACAACAACTGTGTTAATGCAAATCTAGTGATCTCAACAGGTTGTAAACTCTACCCAAACTGTTAGTATGGTCTTTGAACATTATAGTAATGCTGAATAGATGCACTGTTACTATCAGAAATAACAAGCATTTATTTCAGAAATGAGTCTTAGTGTATGTAGCTGTGGTATTATCATCCTGGGCAGTTCTGTAGCACAGTGTGATTGGATGATACAGTATTTACCTCTGAGGTCAACCACTGCCAGGACTGCAAAAAAGTAGAGCAAACATGACACGTCTGTTCTCAAATGTCCTCAAATGAGTGGGCCACAGTCAAATCTCTGCTAGGTACAATACAAGAAACCATTAGAGGATAAAACTTTTAACAGAATGACAGAGGGTCAAACATAGAAAGACAGCTCTGGGAGATGGCAAAGCGAGAAAACCATCATCTCGTCTGAAAGGCACACTAGCAATCTCCAGCTTTAATAATGTAGGCAGTTCTCATTCAGCACTTTGGGGCTTGTGTGGCGATGATTCGTCTACAAATAGCATGACAGACCAATACAATTGTCCCTGGGGATTGGTATCCAGTTATGGTTTGTTATTTAAAAGCAATTTAATGAGATGCTTTTGACTTGGCTTAGGATAATTAAATGCTAGTCTCTCGAGTTGACCTGTGATCAGAATGCTAAATGAAAGGAAGAAGGATAATTTTATTGCAGGTGCTCTTTGTCGTCCTTGTGTTTCTGTTTGGATTAGCCCCTGGATATGAAGAGGATTAGCCCCTGGGTATGAATATTAATATAGATGTGAATAACTTTGGGTCATGGAATAGGCAGCAGGTAGATTGCTAATAGCACCTGTTTCATTATAGTTTGTGAATACCAAATTCTATTATAAGATAGTAGTTGGTACTGGGCTCATTAAAGAAGAGATGTTGAGCTCTCTTGCTGTGTTGACTGTTGAGTCATAAGTTGGCAAATCAAAGAGACTGGAGAAATAGCATGATGCCGTTCAGGTTTCAGCACCATGGACTGTTCATACACCCTGCCTTCTGTAGCTTCCTGCTGAATCCCATGCTATAGAAGACACCTACATGTTTGTATTTGAGTAAATCCGAGAGATAGAAGACACATAGCATGCTGTTCTCCTGGTTTCAGCACCATGGATAGTCCCCCCCCCCCCCCCCCCCCCCCCCCCCCCCCAGCCAGGCATCCTTATGAGTCCCACATTTCTATGTAAGATATGTTTGTTTTTGGACCTAAATTAAATTGGAAATATATGTTGTTGCATGCTGGGCCCCATGTTTCAGCATCTTGGACAGTTCCAGTTATTCCGTTGTCTTGCTAAGTATTAGTCTACTCCTCTACGTAATGTTCTATTGTATGATATATATATATATATATTTTTTGTAACTGAAAGAGATGGTGTTGCTTGACTCCCCAGGTTTCAGAACCATGGACAGATCCAGACACCCCTGCACACTGTAGCCTTCTTTGGGAATGCCAAATTATATAGTCAAATAAATTAGCATTTTAGTTAGATTGAAAATGCATGCATGCTCTAGGTTTCAGAACCATGGACAGCTCCAGCTGTAGTCCTTCCCTAGCCCCTCCTCTCTGTGTGTGTGGACTGTAGCCCACTAGGCCTGTGTCTGTAGGGAGGGCAAGGCTGATTCATTCATTTATAGCATTGCAGCCTGATCATTCATCTTCATCAGTGACAGTCTTTTTTTCTTCTTAAACTGTGTGTATGTTTTTCACCGTCAAACATGCTGCCATTTTTAGATTGGTCTAAACATAAGGTATAGTCTGGGAGGCATGTTTTCTCCATGTGATTGCTCCAGTGCTCCAGCCTGTTTAATATGCAAGGACAGACCTTTACAGAGAGCAGAATGCAGGGAAAAGCTGGATTTATGAGTATCCAATCATTATAAAGGCTCAAAACTCATAAGCCAATGGAAGAGGGTCTTTTCAGAGATGTATTTCTATAGTCTGTAGGGCAGGCTGACTGTGTAATGCTGAGCGGACACACAGGGGAAAAAATACTTGGTTCAGCATTGCAATTAATACTAACTGGTTTCTGTGTGAGAATGAAGCGAAGCAGATGAGCCGTCCGCTTTTACGCCCTAGAATACACTTTTTACCATGTAGAGCACAACACCCATATAAGAACTAAAACAAGGAAATGAAAAAATGATGCGTACTGTAAATAAATACAATATTTTGGGAGTGAGTAGTAATCTGTTTTGAGAGTATACCAATGGCAAGCAGGAGAGACAGTGTACATGTACTCTCTTTGTCTCATCCTTCTTATCTGTTGGCATCATTGTGGTGTAATTATGCATGCGCACGCACACACATGCACTGCACACACAATCCCCTGTGTGATAACGATGAGGGTTAGGGCAGCGCTAACGATTTGTGAGCCACTTATCCGTACTTACCTCTGACCCCTAGCTCTCACCCACTCTTGTTTTAAAGATGGGTGCGTATGGAGAGAACATTTCCATACATTTCCATGTATGCGTAGGTGATCAGAATCACTACGCCTTCTGGTTTCTGACAGAGAGTCTAGGCTCATACAGTCTGCTGCGCGGGAACATAGAATCAATTCCTCTTTCATATTGTCTGAGAGGAGATTTCCAAAGAGTTTTTGAGCTGCTAAAGGACACCTGGGGATAAATTATCCTTTTAATTTGTAAAGTGCCTCAGTTGCTCATTCAGTTGAACACTATTATAACGTTTAGACTATTACAAAAATTAATACGAATTAATACACAGGTTCATTGTTCTCCTTTTCTCACATAATCAGATGCCATTCTGTTGGTATGATAGGCAGTAGGGTGTTTTTCACACGAAGCTGTTGGGTGGATGAAGAATCAGGCCATCTGTGTTATCTGCGGTTGTATGACAGTACCACTGAAGTGTTGACCACTGACGTGTGTGTTGAAAGGGTGTCATTTCTTGCTCTGTGATACACCAGGGCCAGGAGTGTTTCCTTACCATGCAACCTGATCAAGAACATTTAGTGCACAGAGTTTTTCCTGGTCAGGTCAAATAGTCAGGAAAAACTCCTGGCCCCATAGGGATCCTGATAAACGATGAGGTCACTTTTCTGATCTGAGACCTGTTTTAATAGTCACCATACGTCTAGGCAGGTCTAGCAGAGTCGGTATTCCTCACTTCCATAACAGATTCCAACTTGCCAATAATTTTGCATGTGATGCAGATTGTTTTCACCCTGAATAATGAGTTCCGACTGCACAGCATGCCATTAATTTGAACGTCAACAGTTTTGCTGGGGCTTTGCTGTAGTCAGCCAATAGTCAGTGTTGGGGCTTCTTTTTCCCTGACACAACATATTGGATGGGATGGGAAAACCTCCCTCGTACTTGATCCTCCCCTTCTTTTGGTTACAAATGGCATTACTTTAACTTATTGTTATTCAAATGACTGTTGCTGTCCTCGGCTAAGTATATGAAATATTAT